GCCCCCCAAGAAAAAAAAGAAAAGAAAAAAGAAGGAAAAACGCAAGAGATAAAATTTGTCTAACAATGATAACTTGCTTTGAGCATTTGAACAGAGATGGGTGGCAGGGAAAGACCAACATAACACAGCTTTTCTTTAAAAAAAAGAGCATTCCAGCAGATAATTGAGTGTCCTACTTGGCGATCTCCGATGTTTGTGAAACAACTGCAACTACGAGAAGAACTGTTGTTGGTGTTTAATTGGTTATTTTCTATTTGAATGAAAAAAAAATGCTTCAACACAAAGACTTTTATTCAATGGCTTAGTAGATGTCTAACCAAACTGGCAAATTTCAGGCGGACAGTGTAAATATTATGCACGATTGATTGGCCATTTAGACATGAACCTGTTGTGGCCATTGGCGGGGTATTTTGACATGATTTGTTGTAGACATGAACTGCTTTGGTATTGAACTGTTGTGTCATCGACTGAACATGTAGCTATGAACTATTGTATTATTGACGAAAATGTAGATATTGGGTGAACATGTAGATATTAATGAACTATTTTCTTATTGATAGGAAATATAGATATGAACTATTGTCTTATGGACTGGATATGTAGATATGAAGTGTTGTGCTCATTGACTAGAGATTTCGACATGAACTGCTGTGGTCATTGGCTGACAGTAAGGCATGACCTGTTGTGCCATCGGCAGGACATGTAGACATGAACTGCTACGGTGCTTGGCTGGACTTATTGATCTGAACTGCTATGGTCACTGACGGAACATTTCTACACGAAGTGTTTCACCTACTGGACATTTAGACATTAAACTGTTGTGTCGTTAACTGGATATTTAGACATGAACGTTTGGGTTATTTGCTGGGCATTTAGAGGGGAACTACTAGGGCCATTGCCTTAACACTTGTACATGAACTGTTGTGTAATCGACTGGACATTTAGATAGGAACTGTTAGGGCCATTGACTGGACATTTAAACGAGAGTTGCAAGGGCCATTGACTAGGAATTCAGACGTAAATCGTTGTAAACGTGAATTGTTGTAGACATGAATTATTAGAGTCATTGACTGGACATTTTCCTGGTCTCTGCCCCCAGGTTTCATGTCGTCCATCACCTCCACCGCTTATCGTATTGGAGTCTTCAACATGGAAGACGGCTTCAACCTGGGCGCCTGCACCTACCTTTTATACGTCCTGACCCCCTTAATGAGTGAGTCTCTACAGTTCATTTACAATATATACGATGCTGACACAAAAAAGGAAAACGACCAATCGTATATTTTCACCACTCATAAACTTGTATTATGATATTGAAGACTATGCACTCTGAATGAATTCCGGTTCCCCGTGGAGGACACACTTTGACTCTATTTGGAACCAAATGAAGGACAAGGAGTGAATGCTTGCGCGTTCTGCTCTCGGCTATAGTGAGACCGGCGTTTTGCTCTTCATTTGTGCGCCCATGGTGCGCACCAGCGGCGTGTGGTTTTACGGAGAGCAAAGGGCAAACTGCCTATACAGTGCAAGATCGTGGATATTATAATTGTAATTTAAGTCTATGTCACAGCTTTACACTTTGATTATGTCATAAAGATGACGTCATCTCCTTCAGTCTAGGTCCTCCTCCGACAGCCAATGAATGTCTAGACGTCTTACCGCAATATGACGTCAATATAAAAAAACGCTCTTGGAGCACGTTAGAGTTTCGTTCTGATTACAGCAGTAACTTTTCTTTGTGTTCAAAAGTGGTGCCCCAAGTTTTACCAATGATGTCAAACCAAGTCTCCTTGCAAAAGTAGGGTTTTTTTTTGTCGTTGTTGTCACGTTCGCTGTTCATTTCTCCGCTTGTTTGGTTAAATTTTGCTTATTTTGTTGTGTAAGATAGATATGCAACTCATAGCTATGCCATTTTATTTCACCCAAAGATTATTGATGCTTGAGAAAAGCTCGTTTTGATGGTCATGTTTTAGGCCTATTATCAAATCAGTCTCCTTATTTTCATTGCACTACTCGAATGTGTACTATGCATACATACACATTTGCATAATGTATCAATGACAATATATATATAGTTTTCAAAAAACCGTATTAACATTTGATTATCGGTACCCAAGAAAAATGGTAGGTTTAAGTTAACATTGGAGAGATCGAGCAATCGGTATGCCCGCGCTTTTATTCTGTTCCCAGGGCATTGAACGTCAACAAAAAGAAAAAAAATTGCTTTGCTCTCTCTCTCACTTTCTCTCTCTCTCTCTCTCTCTCTCTCTCTCTCTCTCTCTCTCTCTCTCTGCATTTTATCTCTAGCCTCTTCCTATGAGTATACTGTCCTCTCTTTCTAGCACCATCCCCT